GTTTATATTCATATGATAAGTGTTGTCAAAGAGTAATAATGTAATTCAAACAACTAACAAACATAATTTTTGAAACTAAGTTATTTAAAAAAATGTTCTTAATAATTTAGCTTCATGAGCCATTTCATCATCACTTCTCTTTGGATTTAAACAGTCTTTTTCATTTTGTAATTTTCTGTATATGTCATCATTCGCCAAAAAATCTCCAGACTTTCTTGGAATAATATGAACATGAACATGCTAATAATAAAAATAACAATTACAAAATAAGTAAAATAATATTTTATCTGTACATTTATTAAGTGCCACCTAATCATTGTATTTGTACACGAACAAAAATATTCCAATCAAATGAATACTTTTTTATTTAATCATTTTTTTGAACTTAAACTCATTATTATTGTTCAGCAACTATTTAAATAACAGTTTAATACCAAAAATATTATTTTTATTTTTATCGTGATTAAAACTTAATTTTTTCATTTCCTGCATTTATATAATAAACTAATTGTAAATAATTCACAGAGAAAATTAATATTTGTTTGTTTTAAATCTTATTTAATTTATAAAATTGTTAATTCATGAGCTTTTGTTTTGTTTTAGTTAAATATAATTAAAATTTAAAGTTTTTAAAATAAAAAAAATTAAAAAAAAAATTAATAAATAATTAAAATTACTAATTTTGAAAGTTATGGATTTAAATGTATTTTAGAACTCTTTATGTGTAAGTCAAGAAATATAAAATCTTTAAATACCTAAGAATTTAGACACACATTCTTATATATTTTAATAAAATTAATTATACACACCTTAATTGTTTGACCAGCATGTTGACCGTCTTGAATAACAATAGATGATGAATTTGTGTTATGCACTTGTTCCATGGCTTTTTGAACCTTTTGAACTGTAACGAATAGTTCCTTAACTTCATCATTAGTTAAGTCTGTCAATTTTTCTACAGCTCTATGAGGAGCCACTAAAACATCTGATTATTGATAATTAATGAAAATACATGAAAAAAACAAACTAAAAAGAATATAATTTTAATATATTTTAAAAGGATACGACCTGGTAAAACACATTTAATGTTGGTAAATGCTAAACATAATTGTGTTTTATAAAAGACTTGTAAGCCTTTAACTATTGACGAACCAAATTTAAATTCATAAGAATCTTCAATTGGCTCATTTTTACATATAGTATTTGAAATCATTTTTGGATAAATATCATATCGTCTATGAGATTCTAGAGGCATTGACTGGCGAATACTTTTTATTAATGATAAATCAATTGGTGCCAAAACAAAACCAGGTTCTTCAGAACATTGTGCTATTACTGTTCCTAATGGATCAACCACCTATACAATGTTCAATATAAAACTGTTTACAGATCATATGTTAATAAAACAAACCATTGAGTGACCCCAAGATTTCCTGGTTGAGCTGTGATTGCCAGTTTGTGCAGCAGCAATTACATAAGATTGAGTTTCAATGGCTCTGGCTCGCAATAATATTTCCCAATGATATGCACCTGTTCCAAAAAAAAATGCCGATGGATATGTTAAAATATCTGCTCCATTCTCAGCTAACGCTATAGCTATTTGAGAAAATCGCATATCATAACACTAAACTTTTAGTTAAAGAAATATTTGTACTTGAATAAAAAGTAAAACCATAAAATAATTCCTAATGTTTTTAAATACTTGATTTGATGTTCACATAAGTAAATTAATTTTGGTTTTTATTATGGTATTTCATAAAAAATAATTATCATTTTAAATTTTACTAAAACAATATATAATTAGTTAATAGTAAATAAATTATTATAACTTGAGATATATTTTAGAAGAACAATATTGTACATAAACAGGAATGGTTTTGGTAAATAATTTAAATGTTGTTGTGAACATTAATATTTCTTTATTGTAACTGACACTGCTATTGTACACTTTAAAAATTGTTCTGCTGAAATAATTATTTTATTTTTTATGCATTTTAATTATACATAAAATATATTCTAATTTAACTTTTAGATATAAAAGGATACAATTGCTAAACCAACTTTCCCAATTGGAGTTTTAACAGGTGGTGAGATTTTAGTACCAGCTTCAATTATGCTTGATTCGAATGCTTGAATGTTTTTTGAAGGTATCTGAACATCATATAAGTGTATTTTATGATAAGTTTCAGCTATTTCACCTTTATTGTTAATAACCAAATGTGTGTTCCTTAATTTGGTTTCTGAAAACTTGAAAATAATCCAATACATTATAAATTGATTTAAAAAATAGAAACTAATTTAACTAATAAGTAAATTGTTTGAACTTTAAATTGAGAGATGTTTGACATCTGCATAGCCTCGTCATATTTAAAATTTGATAAGAATATTTTTGACATTTTTTAAAAATATTGAAATAAAAAGTTATTTAATACTTAAATAATTGAAATTTAAAATTAATATTTTTGTTGAGATATTTACAAATTAATTTAATAATAAATCAAAATTTAAATTAATTGCTCTAGGTTAGGTTATTAATAGCTCTAGTTCTTAAAATACAACATATGCTCTCAATAACAATTTGTACTATTGTTTGATACATACTGCACATATGAACAGATGGATAAAATTCAATTAATTTGTGTTTAAGATTTATAATTTATTTAACTACCAACCGGATATAATTTTTAAACAATAAAAATGTCGAAAAAAAAGTTATATATTTATAAATTATTCATTTACCATATATTTGTACATACTTACTCCCTTTTTTGTTTTTTTTTTTTAAATACATTTTTACCAAAACTACTATTGTAAATATAATTATATTGTAGTTATGATAGTTAACAAAATCTATGATTTAAATCTTAACTCTTAACTATTTTAAAATATACTTAGATACCCAAGGATAAGTCAAGAAAATAACATTTTGTATATTATGCTATTTAAAATGAGTTGGTTTAAAGTATAAATAATGGTACAGCATAATCAAAATAAGTTCTGTTAGATCTTTTTTTTTTTTTGTAATATAAAGTAATATTGTATAAAATTAAAATATGAATAATAAATGTTAAAATTTGGTTTAATAATTTCTTGAAACATACTTCAATAATGAATATGTAAAAGCTATGTCATAAAGTCATATTTGTTGATTATTAATTATTTGTTTAAATATTTGTTAATTAACTATGTCTAATTTGCAAATCCTACTAATATATATTTTAGTATGTTATCTATATCTATATTTTTTTATATTAACAAAAATAGCTATTGATTTTTACTGGTATCTTATTCTAATATACTGATTTATAAATAAACCAACTAAATATAACTTTTTAATTAATCAATATGGTTGCAACTTGTAAGTTTATAACATTGCAAGTATTATCCATATTTAATATATTATTAATTGTATTTAAAAAATTATACGTCTATTTAGTTATTAATAAAAGTTATTATTAATTTAAAAAATGTCATTAAATTTATTAACAATATTACCTTTTCATGAAATCCACCTAGAGATAGCCAAATATCCAATGATTTAGCTAATGATTTATAACTATTGATAAGAGGTCCATTTAAAGATTCAGCCATCTCCAATGTCTTAGTTTTATCTTCCTCAATGTAATCAAAAGCCTCTGGCATGAAAATCATCTGAGAACAACAAACAAAAATAAATATCAATTAATAATAATTACTGATTCAAAATGTTTTTTAAGATATGACATTATACTACCCATACTTACTTTAGCTCCACATTTATGGGCATTAGTAATTAATGCCTTGCACATTTGGTAGTTTTTTTCTTTATTGGAAGATGATGTTATTTGACAAACAGCAATAAGATTGTCCATGTCAGAAAATGAATTTTTAAAAACTGAATATAAACGTTTGATTAACATCTGACTACTGTGACAATGTTAAATGATATATTTCGCAATTAACATCAACAATAGGTCAAACAATTGCGTTTGATTAGGCAGATATTTGTGGGATTAACTGGATTAAGGACTTAAGATTATGGTAGCAAATTATTCATAATTATCGTTTGTGTGTTCATAAACTACTAATAGTACTAATTATAATAGTCATGCTCTTCCCATCTTATTTTCAATAATTGTAATTACCTACCAATCGTTCCACAATATTATCGGAATCCCTTATTATCAAACAGAGTGTCTAATATAATACCTACTTTTTTCTAATATTTAATACTCCTAACACTGTGACTATCAACAATACACAATTAATAATTAAATATATTGCTAAATGCTGCGAAATGCCAAGTGCAAAGATAAGAATTATAAATTTAATTGTTATCAGGTAGTGATAACTGATAAGAACGTCTAAATCACAGCTGATGTACATCGTATAATACTATTATACGTCCGTGATTTGTACATATAAGTTGCCTATCCGAAATCTGAAAATCTATTGCTGTTCAATTGTCTATGTAATATGTATTACTTACTTGATTCCCGAGTATCTATTGCTGTTCAATTTTTTTCATTTATAATTAAATAAATACTTATCCAACTTTTGAAAAAATGCATCACTGTTGTTTATTTTGTTTACCAAGATGAGTTCATTACTGTCGTATACTATAGACGGCCATTAAAATTAAAATATAACATATACAAATTATAGAGACAAAATAATATAGGTATAAAAAATAATTATATAATATATTCTATGTTCTAAAATTTAGAGTGCAAATTACTAACATTAGTAAAACTCGAAAAATAAATTGTATTAGACAACGTAATATTTTGTTATTTAATGCCACAGCTGTTGTACATAAGAGAGTTTTGCTGATTTAGAGTTCGAAATGAGAGCATGATGGGTCCCATACATGAAGGAAAACAGCTATTATGTAGATCTCAATGAACTATTTTATATTCTTCTTTTTAAAATTGAATAATCTAATAAAAGTTTGCGCAGTCATAAACAATAAAATTATGTTGTACTGACATTTCCTTGTAATCATTTGACGTCCAAATACCTTTAAAAGTAAATTATACTAGGGTATAATAATAATTATATAAATTAGGATTTTCTACTAGAGCTAAGGTAAAACCCTTAAAAATCTTTTAAAAAAATCATACAAACGAAACTTGATTAAAACCTTTTGTTTTATCCAAAATTCGAATTATTTTTTACCTTAATAATTGCATATGCAAATAATTTAGTTTGGTAAACATTAAATAGTTACTTAAAATTAATTTAATATAGGTAATAATCACAACATAGGCACAAATATGCTTTAAATCTTGGGAGCTAAGTTATGTATTTTGATACTCGAGAAATTGTTGCTTTTTATAGTAAGAGACAAATTTATTATAATATGTAGTTTAGGTAGAATACAATTGACATATTTTTTTAATTTTTATTTTTATTTTTTGGTGAGTTTTCGTAAAAGTGAAATACAAAAATTTAAGTGTTTTGGGCGAAGTTACCCAGAGCGTAATTTTGTTGAGTGTCTTCGTATTATAACTAATGTAAACATTTTTTTTCTTGGGTTTTGGGTAGCTTAACTTTGAACGACTTGAACACAAAATGATTTTTGTGATATGTGTAACTATACACATACGCGTTCAATTTTGGTATACAAAATGTATACCAATAAATGTCTTAAAAATAAGGCAGTGTTTAAGCATATATGAGTACATGTATTGACTACAGTATATCCGTATCCATATTAAGTAATTTGTTTATCGTGCGTTTAAAAGTTTAAATGCAAAGGTGAGCAATAGTGTTTATTATTATTAGGATTCTAGTTTAGATTTTTTTCTCTCTCAAAATTGTAATAAATAAATTTAAAACAAACCAACATTTTAAATACATTTTACTAAGTTAATTAAATTATTACAAAAGTTAAGTAGGTAGTATTAAGAATCAAGATATTATTTTTTTAATTAAATACTTTTATTTAGATCAAACTAAAATTTATAAATTATATTGACATTTTATGATGATATAAACAACGTAAACCATATCAATTAATTAAAAATTACTATATTAACTGACATTTATTTACACAAATAACAGACCTTATACTTTTTTGTAAAATCAATAAATTAAAAAAAAAAAAATAGAATCAGTAGACAAATATTACTTCTAGATTATCGAGATATTATAAGAGATTTTTAGAAATAAATGATATTCAGGACAACTTAACATGGAACAAAAAAGTGCATTTAAATTTAAATAAATACAATATGTTAATAAAACCATGTAATTTTTCAGAACAAGAGGATATTAAAACATTTATTAAACAATATGAAAAATCAGAAAAATTAAACAATTGGACGATAGTAATAAGATCAAATTTTTATCAATATTTAAAAAAAAAATAGGTATAGCTAATATATTTTTGAAAATTATGGGAAATAACTATTTAAAACAATTTTTTAAGTTTAAAATCATTCAGGATTTACATATAAACTGTCCTGTCAAAGATTGCTATAGGAACAACTTAGGTACTGTCACGTGAAATTATAATTTTTAATCTATACTATTAGATAAAGGACAGAGTCATTTTTAGGTTTACGACGTTAATGCAGTAAGATGTACATTCTAAATCCAATGGTTTTTTTTTAATAATTTTCCAGACGGTACAATGCTCTATTTTAAATCATATCTTTCAACACTTAAAACATTTTTTAAGGAAATTTAATCATTTTAATTCTGTTCACTCACAAAGTCATGCGAGACAGGTATTAATATTATAAAAATTGACAAAATGTAGTACAATAATAACAAGTTATATACTTCTCGTAATATGACATTAATACTACAAACAATTATATTCAATATGCGTCTACTACCATTGATTAATTAAATAATAATTAATTGTGAATAAACATTAAATATATGATTAAAATAAACAATAGGCGATATATATCTAATCATCCAGAAAATATACCACTCTGGAAATCTATCTTAGTATTATATATATATATATATATAATTATGTAAGAACTTTTAACAAATAGGTAAGTAGATATATACATTTAACTCATTGAAGAATGAAGATAGAAATGTATAGAGCTTGAATTATATAAAGTACTTACATATTCTTAAAAATTTGTAAATTGTTTTAATATGTTGACTTCATACATGTTCGTACAATTACAATTAGTTTAAACACATAATTACTAATAGGTTTATTTGAATAAAGTTATGAAATGTTAAGTATTATGTGGCTGGTATCATTATTTGTTTAATATTCTATTTTTCTTAGTCGTCATATCATTGCTTAGAATCCGTTGAATTCTAAAAAAAGAGTTAAGCAAAATGTATTTAGTAACGAAAGTATTAGGTATACAGTTTGTTAAATTATACTATATTATACTAACGTTAGAACCACAATATCAAGTAATAGAACAACACTCGTTGTAAATATTATCGTGATCCAAAACACTGATGATCTAAATATGATTTCATTTACATTTATGAACACAGTAAAATGCATTAAAATGTTCTTTACTTCACTAAACAATTAAACAAAACAAAATACTATAGGTAAACAATTTTTACAAAAAAGGAATACCTATAATTAATCACAAAATTATTTAAAACTGTATATCATATTTTTTTTTAGCATACAATTATCAATATTAAGATAGAGAGAATACAATGTATGAGCATAATGTTTTTCAACTAGTATAACAGTCAATATTACAATAAATAATTAATTACGTATCTTACTCATAGATTATTATGAATGAAATCCATAGTAGTATTGATACCCATATAGCTAAGTGTACGATAAAAGACCATGACTGAATATGTAAACCTGCCTTGAAACACACAACGATCAACGTACACTAAATCAATAATGACCAATAATATTATTAAAATTAATAATGGTTATAAATATAATTTAAGTATAATTATTAAATGTAGATCACTATATTCTATTTGCGTTACAGTGTATATGACGTTTCCAAATACTGAATAATCGCCTAATCTCCCTTTGATCCATATAACTTCATGTTTCATGATGAATAGGCATATCCAAAATAAGAATATTGAGTGAAATAAAGCATTGACTATCCACATCCAAAACATTTTAAAACTAAATACATTTTGAGTTTTATAGTACAATTGTGGACATTTTAATCTTGTTTCTGTTGAGCATGTAGTTAGAAATAGTCCCATTATAATCGGTAGTGAAACTGTAAATAACTAAACATACACAAAAAAGAACCCATTTACATCTAGTTATTAATTTAAATTTAAGTATGTCGATTAGTTTTCAGCGATTGGTATTTGATAGGTACTATATCAAGCGGTATACCGACATGGCTTTAAAGTATAAATCAGGAATTTATACTGTGTTCATATACCTAGGTAGTTAGGTAGCTTATGGTAACTAATTCATAATTTTAACTGTATATTTACTGATTTGTATGTAAAAATATTCCATCTATCGAATAATACTTGACCAGACCATCCAGAATAAATGGCAAACCATAATTGTAATGAATTAAAAACAACAGTTTTATAGTGATGAAAATAAATCATTTTGATAATCTTTTCATGATTCCAAGCGCCATGTACAAACAATAACTTTAATAAATAATTAAACTGAAAAAAAAAATATTAATTTATAATTGATTTTAATTACACAAAACTAAAATGATTTAAGTTTACTTATTTACTTGAGCAATTGAATAGTCTGAAGCATTATATGCTTGTAATCCATCTAATCCTATTACACCCACTCCAATGCTAGCTTTATGGATCATAGGTATATCATTAGCTCCATCACCTATAGCCAAGGTTACTTCATTTGTGTATTTTGTTACGAGATCAACAATCTGTTACATGAATTTCAGCAATTGTAATACATTGTTTTTTCTAAAAGCTAATTAACATATTATTGTGTTAATATTTTAGTTCCCTTAGATAATATCTAATTTATAATATTTAGATTTTTTTAGATCCATATTATTTTGAATCTTTGATATTCGTTCAACATTTGCTTACAACAGTAACTCGAATTTAATATTTTACCTACCAAGATGAGATAAACACGCAGTTACGACAGTTATATCTATTTTAAATTATTTAAGGGCTATGTACACTTATGTTTATTATTTAGATAACTGCATGTTTGCTAATAGTATCACAGACTATAACTATAAGAAAATAATATCATTTTCAGTACATTAAATAACAAATATTTATATTTATATTGAATCTTAAATAATTAATGTAAGTAATTAGGGTTGCCATACAAAAACCCGGACGAAAAGCAGAACCGTTACCGGTTTTTGATATTTTG